CCCCCCCCCCCACACACACACAACCATACGCAGCGCTGCCGAGTACAGTCCTAGGAATTCTCGCGGCTGTCAGGCAGAATGCGTGCCGTGCGCACAGTAGGTCACCCGACGCAGGGTGGGCGGAGGACTTGGCAGGGTGGGTCGGACATCGAGGGTAGAACGCAGGTCCTTCCGCGGCTGGGCTGCGTAGAGTCCCCCGAAATCACGGGGCTGGTGCAAACACACACACACACAGGTTGGCGGTTCACCCCGCAGTCCCGAACACAACCGATCCGACCGCCGAGCCGAATCGAGTCGGGCCGAGCCGAAGGTCCCGGCGGCGGGTGCGAGGGTGAGGGCGAGGGCGCGCACCCCCGCCAGTCGACGCCACGCGCGCGCCGCGAGTACGCCAGGCGAGGGTTGCGCGCAGGGCTACATGGGCCGCGGGGCCCCCCACCGCCACTCGACGGCGCAGGAGTATTCCAGACCACCCCCGGACCGGGCCGGGCGGTGGAACTGCTGGGCTAGGGCTGGAGCCAGGTGGACTCGCACCCGCTAGCAGCACCAGGCCGACGACCATACAGCAGGACACCGCCGCCGACGGGGTCCGTGACGACGCACGACGCGTCCCACCCGAGGCGGTGGCGGCGCGCGGATGGCATTGATTGACTGAGCGACCGACTCGCCCCGCCCCGCCCCGCCCCGAGCCGGACTCGCACCTGTGGCCGGCGCACTCTCCCCTATGCTGTCCCCGGGGGCGGACGCGCCGCCCGCCTCAGGAGCAGGAGGGGCCCCACTCCACGTCGCGGACCGGACCCATGGAGAAATGGCTGACTGAGCGGCGTCTGTGGCTCTTCGGCAACCACCTGCCTCTGCTACCTCGCAGGTAACACTGTTAAATATATAGAGCGTGAGAAACGCAGCCACAGACACACTTTGTAATGCCAAAGGCGTGCCTTTATCACACTTTCTAGACATGCCTGTTGTGTCACACTATTCCGCGAGAACAACAAGCAGCGTGAGAAGTGTGTATTTCACTTGTACATTTACGATGTGCGACCAACAAGTCCATGACATGTGGGACTGTTTCACAAACAACCCCGAGACGAGAGCTGTGGGCTGAGTACTCTCACCACACTCACATAGGTGTATAGTGTTGTATAGATGAACAGACTGAATCTGAGTGGCCGAGCGATTACAAGGCAGCGGGCGCGGGCGGAGCGCCTGCGGCTGGTAGGGTAGGCAGCCCCGCACAGCACGCCTGGTCGACGGGCTGGCCTACGTCCCGAGCGGCAGGCGGCAGGCGTCCTGAGAGAGGGAAGGTTCTGAAGGTTCTAAGCTCTGATCCGGCTCTTGGGGGACTTCAGGGTGGACGAACAAGTGTTGGGGATAGGATGTATCCAAGTTCCAAAACTGCGAGAGGCCGCCGCCGCCGAGCCCGGACGTACCCCGGCACCGCCCCCCTGCCCCCCGCCGAACGGGACCGCACGGGGAGCGCGCGGGGCTTCGATTGTTGTCGTCCGGAAAAGGGCGCTGAGCTGCTGCGGCATAGGAGTTGCTCGAATAAGATGACAACACACTGCCGGTGCTCATGGCTCGGTTCATGGCCATGTGGAGAGGCAGGCCGGGGGTGGGGGCAGGGGCGGCAGGGGGTGCGCGGGTGGGCGCCGGCCCCGCCGGCCCCAAGCACCAACCTGTGGTGAGCAGGTGAGCCGATGCACGCGAGGGGTGAGCAGGGCGAGCACGTGTACTTTGTACCGGGCTGTGGGAGAGGGCCGGGGGTGGGGGTGGGGGGAGATTTACCTGCTCGGAAGGTTCGAGCGGTCGTGCCTATCATAATCTCACGGCGAGTCTTATCACTAATTCACGGGTCAGTCGATCAAATAGGGAATCGATGAGCCCCAGGTGAAATGCTCCTATCGGACAGCTGCCTGCAGCCAGCAAACCGTCACGGCTACTGGCTGGCCAGGCTGGTAGGAGTAGCCCGGGCGCAGTTAAGCAAGTCCGACTTCCCCAAGGTCAAGACCCCGGCCGATCATCATTACCAGGAGCTGTCTGGCGGGGGGGTCGAAAAAGAAAAGAGCTCCAAACGCACACAGAATGGCGTGCCGTGCGGGGGAGCCCCGAGCCCGAAGCAGGCCGAAGGCCCCCCGGCCCCCGGCTGCTCGGCCGCCGCGCGCTCTGCGCCCCACTGGAGAGCTGAAGGCCAAGGATCGAAGGCCCGACCCAGCTGGGGTATGACGCAGGACAATCGTGTAAAGCACGGCTGCTCGGTCCACGCTACGGCGCCATGCCAGTGGTCAGCCTTGGACCTTGGTGTCCTCGAGCCTCGAGCCCGGGCCAGGACGGGTCGTACAGGCTTTCCGTGTCATATGGCAACTGCATGGGATGACATGAGTTTGCTATGTCGGGAAGGTGCTGGCGACGCCCATGACTACATCGTTTTGATAATCCCCATTCCTCGTAGGCAGGACCTCATCCGACCTCATCTCACCTCCCCTTAACCTTGCCGCGCTGCTCTCCCTCTGTTCCAGGCCACGGGCGCCAGTCAGGGCCATGGAGCGGTACGAGAAGCTGGCCAAGCTCGGCGAGGGAAGCTACGGCGTCGTGTTCAAGTGCCGGCACCGCGACACCGGCCAGACCGTCGCCATCAAGAAGTTCGTCGAGTCGGAGGACGACCCGCTCATCCGCAAGATCGCGCTACGGGAAATAAGACTGCTCAAGGTGAGAAGGGTCTCTCTCGGCGAGGCGTGTGAACGAGAAGCCAGGACTGTTGCGGCGGTGCTGTTTACCTGGACATGAGCCACGTGAGCGGGTAAATAAAACAGTGGCAAGGGCCGGACCGGGGGATAGGGGGAGGGAGGTAGGAGGGCGAAGGGGTTGTGGTTCTAGGGGTGGGGCGGTATATATATATCGAGATACGTTTCAACAGCCCGGTAATAGCGGTCGAGTCGGGTCGATACACCTTTCTTGTGCCTGTGCCGCCGCGCCGACCAGCCCGGCCGCGCCGTAACTCGGCTGACTGTTCGGCTGCGATAGCCTCGGCGGTAGCCGTGCGCGGTCGGATCACAATAAGCTGGGCGTGCTCCACCCGCGGCTCCACCCAACGAGACTCGGCACCCGCCTACAGTGGTTATTAAATCTATAGTGTCAAACCGTTTCTTCCTCGCAGAATCTCAAGCATCCGAACCTGGTGAACCTCCTGGAAGTGTTCAGGCGGAAACGGAAGCTGCACCTCGTGTTCGAGTTCTGCGACCACACGGTGCTCGACGAACTACAGAAGTACCCGCAGGTAATTAAGGCGCAGGGCTCTTACAACAAGCCAGCACACGACAGACAAGCAGTGGTAGTGACCTGTGACCGGTGTCCCACACACACAGGGCTGCCCGGAGACACTGACGCAGAACCTCATCTGGCAGACACTGCAAGGGGTGGCCTACTGCCACCAGCACGGCTGCATCCACCGCGACGTCAAGCCGGAGAACATACTCCTCACTGCGAACGGCGTGGTCAAGTTGTGCGACTTTGGCTTCGCGCGAATGATGAGTGAGTGCAGTGGGGAACGCCCGCAGGATGTGATGCGTTACAACGTCATCAGGACAGAATTAGATCGAATCTTGAAATGTTGACTTGAGGCATCGTGCAGAAAGTATGTCCGTTTTTTCCCGAGATTCATTCGGTGAATTGCGGGAGCTCGGCGCCTGCGAGACTCGTGGTAGGCCAACCCGCAGTACCTGCATGCACTGCAAGCAAGATATTGCCTACCTATTAGGCGCTATGAGAGGTTGCCTGGGCTGAACTCGGCAGTTCCGTAAACGGCGAGTGACGGACGTAATTTCTGGGCGACCCCTTACGTCTGGCGTTCACTTCACTTCTTCATGTTGCAGGCCCTGGGGAGAACTACACCGACTACGTGGCCACTCGCTGGTACCGCGCTCCCGAGCTGCTGGTCGGGGACACTCAGTATGGGCCCCCGGTTGACGTCTGGGCAGTGGGTGAGAGATTAGTGTTGCTCTCTTCAATCTTGAATTTGTAAAACGTTTGTTTCATAGCGACGCCCCCTCTCTTCTCTTTCCCCAAATTTCATTTAGGCTGTGTCTTTGCCGAACTGATACGGGGCGAGGCTCTGTGGCCCGGGGCTTCCGACGTCGACCAGCTGTTTCTCATAAGAAAGAATCTGGGTAAGAATGTGCAGCCCCATAATTTAGGATGGAGGACTATCACACCCAAAACCTGCGGTGGATAGAAATCCTTGTAATGTCCTGCGCTCTTTCTGGCAGGGGACCTATCGCCTCGCCACATGCAGGTGTTCCGCGCCAACGAGTTCTTCAGAGGGGTGACGCTTCCCCAGCCGGACTCCGTCGAGCCGCTCGAGAACCGGCTGCCGAAGCAGGCAGGGGCCGCGGCCATCGACTTCCTCAAGGTACGTACAGAGTACAGAGACAGAGCTCTACTCTGCGCTGCGCAGCTCTACTCGACACGTACTCTAGACCGAAACTCTGTTTACAGCGCTGCGTGGACAAGGAGCCCGACCGAAGGTGGACGTGCGAGCGCCTCCTAAGGCACGTGTACTTCCACAACTTTCGCTGTACCTTGCCCGCCGAAGAGTTGCGCGAGTTTGAGAAACTCAAACTGCTCCGTGATAGGAGTCGGGTGAGGAGAAAAATGGAAATCGACAGCTGTCGTCTGCCTCGCCATTGGGATGCCGAGGGTAATTTGACCGATCCTATCCTTTTCCAGAACTCGACTACAAGTACCGGCTCCACCATGCTACCTCATCTGGCGAGTAGCACCCAAAGCAGTACTACGTCACCAGAGCAGAGCAGTAGTCAATCCCGAGATCACGGAGACCATCTTCCAGTCATTTAATCGTGGTTGGGCATTTACACATGAAAAATACAGTGTTTGCAGAAACCTGTGATAAAATGAGTCCGCAATAAGGGTGTGGTGCAATGACAGTATATTCTTTAAACAAAAAAAATATCTATTTTTTACAGCAGCAACAGGTAGAGATGTAGAAAAATAATTAATAAGTTCTTTAA